AAATCATGTCAATAATTACTGAGGCCACTATCCCAGCAACCGGGACTAATAGTCTAAATCAGTATCTTACTGGCAGCCTGGATCTTGATGACGATATGGAGGAAGATCTAGAGAGTGACCCTGATCTCGACATTGATAGCAGCGGAGAAATCATCTATGCAATGTGAGTGTACAATGTAATTTGGAACCCAAACCCGAAGATGAACTACACTGTTTGATGAAAGGTTAGTGGCACTGTTTGATGATGCTTGGTTTACTTTAACACGAACCATTTGTTCCTCCTCCATGTTTGCGCTTCATCTGTAACTTGATTCAGTGGTCGAGTTTGTCTCTCTGAAAAAATCTTTAGCCATATTAAACTGGCGTTTAAGCCCTCGTTTTGTACATATTTTTCTTGTTCTTCAAACACTTCGCAGTTGTTGTTGCTCTCGCTGAATCTGCCTTCCCTTTAAGACTGATGTGGATGAAATTATGCATTTTTCTTTCTTTTGGTAGGCTGAGAGAACCGATCAAAATTACACTGTACTGCTGTTGGATGGTTTTTAAACAATCCAAAACCGGGGCTCAAAAAACTATCAAGTATCGATTTTTCCAACTTCATAAACTGTGACACCTAAAAGTGATGGAAAAAAAGTTCCCAATCAGACCCTTAATTGGAAACTCGTGAAATGTAGCAAGTCGTATAAATTATTTAGGAATGCTGAGATTAGTCACAATGAACATTTGATTCATCAATGCAACAAAAAGTGTATGTTTGGTTCACGGTAATGAATAAAATCGAACAAGAATTGATAAATTAAATTTATTACTTTTTTCCTTTTTATATTATCGACTACTATCGAGTACACGGTGCCAAAAAATGAATTTTATTCCTTTTGTCAAAGTCAAGGCCACATATGCGATTATGGTTGTTGGCCCTAAAAAATGTTGTCAACAGATATCGGGCTCACTCGTACACATGTAAGCTTGATCTAACACGTTAATGTCGATCAACGATCAAGATGACTCTAGAAACTGAACCTGGGAGTAGCTCAAAGACACGAGACGTTTCCGTTCGGACTTCCGGCAAGATTTATG